GGATGGAGGTTAGGCTGACTGGCCTAACTTCAGTGACAAATCCTAAATCAGTGTCAAAGAGTGAAGTTTTTATTTGTCAGTTGGTTCTTCAGAGATGGTACCATCAGCTTCCATAGCCCCAAACTACCTAGCAATAGTAATTCCGAATAAAATTGCCCCCAGGTGGGATAATTTTCCCTGAGGGGCTGCAGTGTTAGAAAGCATACGGCATAGGATCCAGTTTCATTTCTTATTTTCCAATAAGGAAGCACTGCCTGGAAGCCATCCAGGTCTGCCTTACATGGGGAGAGTTATGTGTCTTTTCTCTTGCTGACTAGCTATCAACAGGAATGTGTTCCTTCTAGCCTCTTGCTCTAAAACTAATTATGCAAGTGTTTACCTGCATTGATTGACGTGAACAGTTGGACTTGGACAGTTCAGCCTGTTGTCTCCTCACTGTTCCATGTAGATCCTTTATCCCCCTTCCACCACAACTTCAAGGAATCAGTAAGCAACACTTGAATCCTGAGAGCCATCAGTGTATTTACTGCATTAGAAACATGGTCTTCTTGGTAGTGAAAAAACCCCCACTTAGTTTCCATTACAAAATTCCTGCTTACAATTTTAAAATGCACTTTTCATGAATGTTCTCTAACACTAGCTTTAAATATCTCATTTGTTTTCTACATTGTCTGTGGAAAAGGTTGAGTTAATTCAAGTAAATTCTACATGTTTATTCATGGAATAAATGGAAGCATGGGAAACATAGCAAATTATTTGCCTCTCATTTAAATTACCACTGTGAGACCAAGTTTAGGAGTTTTAAATGCTGCTGTAGAAAAGCAGATGTTTAACTCACAACAGCTGCCCTGTAGCCATCCACTGTCACCTTTCTGTCTTTCTCTAGCCAGCGCCTATGAGACTGAAATGAATTGAAAAGTTTTGCTAACTTTCAAATGTGAGTTACTTCACATGAAGCACTGAGACTACATTAAATACTTTGGCAGGCTCCCAGGGTCCCTTTCTTTTTCTGTTATATGGGTTTATTTAGTAAGGAACAGAATTTTTTGGTTTTTCTAAAAAGGTGTTTGTGAATGACTATCTACCGTGCTCTATATCTATCTATAAGTCTATGACATTGCCTATTTCTCATCTAGCATCCATTTTGGGGTGAATAAAGGTAAAAGTTGTTTGTTTACAGTACACTTTGTCTACACATGCCATAGCTTTGCATTTGTGGAAGCCAGACCACCTACATTCACACAAACACACAGACAGGCACACACACACATAGTCCAAACATCTTTGTTATTGCTTGTCCATCTATGTTGCCAATCTTCTCAGGTTTTTAAGCGTACATGATGGTTGCTGTCATTCACAGTTTGTTTTATTCATCCTGCAGGTCTCCTGTAATGGCTGGAGGTCTATTTGCCGTTAACCGAAAATGGTTTTGGGAGCTGGGAGGCTATGATCCAGGATTAGAAATATGGGGAGGAGAGCAGTATGAAATCTCCTTTAAGGTAAGTCATCAGGTCACCTTATATGATACTTCCCTACTTGTTTGGTACAGGAGTCGGTCTTAACACTTCTGGATTTTCATTCCTCTTATACTTTGTGATCATGATGCTTTCATTCATACTGACTTTTGTCTCTTAACTGAAATTAATTTAGTACAATACTATTTTTTCCCTTTAGGGATTGATACTAATTTCACAGAGAACTATGCCATAAACATATGCTCCAGAAGCCATACAAAAATCACACGAATATAGTGCCAAATCTTAGCCTACTACCATCAAAGAATTAAGTTCTACCTTGTTCCTTTTGTCAAATCTCCACTTACCTTCTCTCAGACACTGCCTTTACTTCTTGCTGAAGTGTGAGTTCAGCTCAATAAGTCAAGAGAGAAGTTCAGAAAAAAAGAAAATTGCATAATTTTCTGCCCAGTACAACAAGTTTGATCATTTCTGGAGACAGGGTCCCCTGGAGTCAGCTCAGGGAAATGAACGGAAATGGAAAGAGGACGTCATGGGAAGAAGGGCCCCTTTCAGTAGCAGTTAATCACTACATCAGCTCAACTGCTATGAGCTGTTATCTACTGGCCAAATTTTCAAAATCAGACTATTTTTAAGTTGTATTTGAATAATTGTAATGATGAAATATATGCAGAGTTTTCAAGTGCTCAGGTTATATACAACCAGCCATGGTATATCCTTATATCCTCTATGTCAACATGAGTATTCAAATGAGTTACTTGGCTTTTACAAGTTGAATTGAAAGGCTTGTTACTTTTCACATGTAAAATAGGTATTTGCATTAGTTTGATGAGGACTAGCATGTCTAATTTTGAAAATTAATTTTATTATGTTCCAATATACCCAAACACATAAGAATTCTACAAAGATTTTCAATGACTTGATGGAATTTCATGACATAGATAAATTGAGTCAAGCATATATGGATAAAGCTTGAAATTGAAATTAGAATTCGTATTTAGCTTCAGGATCTTTCCAACCTACTTCCAAACTCTGACAGTGTAAAGCTCAGTAAATAAATCTAGTATGTCAGCCTTGACTAATATCATACATCTTGGTGCATCTGAGTTTCAACAGCTATTAAAACAACAGAGCTGAGGCCATTCTGCTGAACACAGCGTGACCCAACACTAGACCGCCAGGCTGTCTTTACAGGAGTTATCGAGAACAGTAAAATGGTTTGTATTAACTGTGCTACTCTCATGTTTCTCCAAATCATTTTTATACCCCAGCAAAATAAAACAGGAAGGCAAGGGAAACCCAATAGCTAGACAGTATATTTAGAATATATTGATTTACCTTCTGTCCATTTAGGTTGTTTCAGAGGTAAATGTAAGTAGTCACTAGTAGCTGTCACAATCGTCTCTGACAGGTCACCCAAGATTTTATTATCCTATTTCAAATTTTCCTTTTATTCATCATTGCAAAGATACAATGCTCTCCAGTCTTTGTAAAGAAACCATGGTAACAGCACTGGAAATAGAGATACATACTAGATTGTCCCAGAGTGTTTTGCTCAAGTGACAGAATTTTTTTTTTTTTGAGGCAGCTGTGTGACACTGGGTCTCATTTCAGTCATATCTCCTGATTCATCTCATTAGTATATGCTTACCTTAGGGTCCTTATCCTTTCTTATTAATGTTAAAAGAAGAAAAAAATACTTCTTGGAAGTGATTGCCAAATAGGAACAACATTCTGTTGGAAGAATTTAACAGATGTAAGTTTTAAAGAGAAGATTGCTGTTTTGTTGGAATGACAAAAAATGGGAGAAAAATCACAGAGGCAGGAGGGAGAAACAGAAAGGACTGGTTTTTATTATATCAGAATCACCAATATCAGATTGGGAAAAATTTCTGCTTCAGCAGCTTCTACTGTAGCCATAGATTCAGTCATCTTAAAACTTACTTAAATGAGGACAAGTTAGCCAGACAGTTTAATTTACCGGCTTTATTCACAAAACTTGGGAAGACGGTGGGCTTGCTATCTCTCTGTTACTCATTAAGTCAATAAAAAAGACAGACAACCAGCCTGGTTCAGTTTCCTCAACTGCTTAATTGGGTCTGAAACTACATCTTCCCTTGTCTTACAGTGTCCCTATCTATGGCCTGTGGAAGTGTTGTAGGATGGGTGCCCTGTGTTGATGCCATGTCTCACATTAAGCATATATTGCTTGGCAAATAATTATCTGGAGTATCCTGCCTCAAGAACGTGTCTAACCACCAGACATGTACCTATTCTCACTCACTTCTTCTTTGACTCCATTAATTCTTAATATTTTGTAAAAACATGCCTGGTTTCCATTAAAAAGTTGTAAAAAGCAGCTGGTATGAAGTATCTTGTAATTGTGGGAAGTTTGCGTCTAAAGGACAGTTTCAGGCTGATCTTTAACCTCAGTGACAGACAAGGTGTTCCTTTCTTGTTCTTCATATATCATCTTGTTTTTAACTTCGAGATTCATTTGTACAAAAGCTGCTATATAATGGTAAATCAGTGAGCAATCTAGCTGCTATAAACAGAGACCGTGCTGATGACACGACCTTCCCAGTGTCAGAGAGGGGATTCTTGTGGCTAATTCAAATACAGTACTGTAATTATGAGGGGGTGCATTCCAGAGTGAGAGCTGTCATGTGCTCCCTGAAATGAAGTAGTGTCTGGTTGGTTTTGAACCGGTTGTCCTGCTCTGTGAACTCGAGTGAGGAGCGTTCGCAGTATTTCTGGTCCTCTACTCAGTGATGCATTTGAAACTCCATGGATCGACAGACTACTGTAACCCTTCTGCTTAATATTTTAACGGTAGATCCAGGTACTATAGAACAGACAAGCTGCAGCATGTGTCTCTAATTAGCACTGATAATGTTTTGATGCAAAGGTAAACTTACAGGTGCATTAGGGAAGATTTTTGATAAATGCGTGTGTCAAATGTCATGATTATATGTCCAAATTCACTGATGGCAAACGTTAGAATCACGTTTAAGAAACTATATGTTTGATATTTTCTGGCCTAATTTTATTTGAAGAATTTCCTGTATGTTGGAATGAAACTTCACCCCACAGAAATATTTGCATGCCAAGGGGAAAGATCACTTGATAATCAATATCCTATTAAGAAAAAGCATCTTCTGGACTAAAAAGCCTCTGCATTACTGTTCCAGAGACATCCACAGCCATCCTCACAGCTCACGTTGCAGGAGTGTTTGCTACAAATCAGGGGGGAAGCCATGAGTGCAAAGTGTGGACTTAGGGAGTCAGATAAATTGGAGCTTTCAGAAAAGTATGATAGCTAGATCTGTGCTAGTCAAGACTCAATAAAATAGTTTAAAGTCCTCTGACTTAAGGATTTATTAGCTTCTTCATCATGAACTTAATACCAGCTACTCTGCTCTGCTCACTGTAATCTTCAACTGCGCTTTGCAAAACCCCAGACACACAATGAATTAAAAGTCTGGTGCTGGATCAAGGGCCGTCATGCAAGCTCACAGGAATCACTAATAATAGCAAAGCCATATTGCTTTATGAGTTCAAGATGCTAAGGCAGAGTTCAAGGACTGATTAAAAATTAGATTAGCAGGACAAGTGGTTGCCTGGGGAGTCCAGCAGTTCCTGACAAGAAGAGGTCAAACCAGATTTAGGAAAGGTACTCAGGCTGGGAAGCTTGGAGGGAGAGTGTCAATTTTGATGTTTCTCACCAGCTCTTTCACTACATGTGACCTGGGGTGAGAGACACCAGGCTTCAGCGCAGAGCAGAGTCCTAGACAAAAGTCTTTTTCTGTGGGAGGAGGTTGCATTATCTCACTACACAGGAACAGAAGGTGGGTGGTGTGAGCAAAAATATATGTTTGTGTGTGTTTGAGGGGGAAGAGTGTTCGATGGAGAAAGAAAGACACTACAGAGAGTGACTCTGCGGTGAATCTAAATTTATTACATCATAATTCAATACTTTTTTCCAAAATACAGTACGCTTTATAATGTTTCTGTGACGTTTGGAATTGTGCCATAGCAGCAAAGGAAACTTCCTCAAACTTCAGGCATGACTATTCCAGGTGCTGAGTTGTCAGGAACACAGAGAGACAGGGGGATTTTTTTTTTTTTAAAAAAGCTGCTGCTTAGAAGTTTGCTTGACCTTTATTTCCTTGACTGCAAAAAACAACATATTTCTCTTTTGTTCCTTTCTTGCTTGCCAACATTGCTGCAGAGGACAGCAGCTAGTGTAGTGCTGGGTACTATGGTGATTAACTGCTGTTTCCAAATCAGAGCACAAGCGTGTACATTGAACGGATGGTGAAGCAGCCACAACCCATGACCTCTTCATTAAATAGTTCCTTAGATTAAATTTTACATAAGAAATAATGTGCAGCATTTTAATTTTTTGGCAGCATAACCTGGGGATCAATTTTTTAATTAAAAGATGTATGATATCTTGCTGATGATACTGTTCAGCGTGTGCTAGACTTGTGAAAGCTGGCAAAGCACTGGAACTGACCTGATTCATAGTGTCTCCTATCAATAACCAGGAAAGCCACTATTTAGGAAATCCTAAATTTAAATCTGTTAGTAAGGCACAGTTTATGTGCAAAATATAGAGCAGTGAAAGATATTAATTTCCTGTGTTTGCTGAAGATCCTTTACACTGGACATTCCTTGAACTTCCTAAGTCATACCTTAACAAAAATGCTGATGGTGATACCCTAGCCTCTTTGAAGCTAGTCACATATATCTAAAGTTGTTTTATCCTTATCCACGCTGACACATCTTCCAAATTCTCTTCATCACTGTTTTCCAACACACACCTCCATGTTCATTAGCCCCTTTCTTTATCATCATCATCATTAATTCCCTCCACTGCTGGCAATCTTGGCAGGAGGTAGGGAGTGGGGAGGCATTACCGCTTGTCAATGCAGTTGTAATCTCTATGAAGAACTGACAAACATGGAATAATGCCACTTTTCTCAGCATTTTAGAGGTGCCGGTGAGTATTGTTGAAATATCCATAGCCAGCATTTTCCAGTTTACACAGTACAGTTTTAATATCCCTGGCAGGAAATCCCACCGCACCACAAGTGAATGGTTTTGCTCTTTGTGAACCCATTGACTGCAGATTTTTAGTCAGTGATCCTATTTTTCACTTTTTTTCTTGCATTTATCTGAACATTCTCACTACATAGAAAAGTTCACAGGAAAGTATTCTTCCTTCTCCTTTCTACAACTGTTAAATCTGGTCTTTTGGCTTATATTTCAGGAAGAGTAACTGAAAAATCCCATCTACAACTTTTTCAGCCCCATTGTGGTAATACATTTCTTCTGTTTGTAGTCTATACTTATTGCACAATGCTTAGAGCACCAAGCTGAAACTTTGCATGGCATGCTTTATATTTCTTTTCTGCCAGTTTAGTGTTTGTTTGGGTTCTCCATCCATTTCAGTGTCTCTCGCTGTTGGCTGATATGTTACTGACTCTCAGCAGAAGTATATTTCTCAATCAGTTTTGAAGCCTGATCCAAAATCCATTCAGTCCCTTCTCAATCTTTTACATAATTTGCTGTATATTTATGTTCCTGTTCCACAGCAACACATCCTCCACTGCTCAAAAATCATGAGTGTCTTACTGCAGTAATTACGATTACAGTGTAGCATATGGATTGGAGCCTCATTCTCGCGTGCACAGTATTTACATTTTCCAGATAGTCCCCAGGCTGGTTGACTCACAAACTAGATAAGGTGGGGGGGGGGAATCGTAAGAGCAAGCAGAACTCAGTTTTAAAGACAAAGAAGTGATGTGAAAAGAGGGTGATTCACCCAAAATCCTGAAAGAGCTGTAGAACAGAGACAAAAAATGCATCTGTGACATCTCAGCCCCATTCAGGAACAAAGCCACATAACCATAGCTTAATCTCTTTTAAAGTTTATGTTAATGCTTGCCTTTTGCTTTCAACAATTTCTATAAAGTGTTTTGCAACGTGCTGTTGGAAGGAGCTATATAAAGATAAATTGTGATATAGTGTATAGTTGACATATAAACTACTCGTCTTTTGATCTTTCCAAGTTGAAATCGCATTGTTTTGATTTCGTCGTTTGGTTTTTATACCTCAGCCACAGACCAGATTCATTGCTTTCGTAAGAAAGAGACATTAGTGATCTTGAGAGTTTTATTACTTGCTTCTTAGATAAACAGAGAGGCATCAGTGTTGTGATATCATTTTGCCAAATGTCCCACACCACCTGAATCCCTTTCATGGTACAATGGAGGTCTGTAATATTTAACACAGAAGTCATTCTCCAATTTCTTGCATTTAGCACAGGTGACATAAAAATGCATTTTAAAGACAAAGTTGCCAGAATTGATCTTCCCAGGGAAATATTAAAAATGCCTTTAAAATCATTCTGAAGCTGAAACATAAACAGGAACAGCTGCTAAATATCCTTCAAGGCAGCCCAAGATTCATTTCAATTACCCTGCACAGCATACCTCAGGTGCAGCACAGCATTTTCAAGTTTTATATCTATCAAATATAAGCCAGCACAAAGTGTTATTTCCTCCCACTTGTTATTGCCTCAGTGTATCTGACAGGTTTTTTTCTAATTCCTTTTCTGCCTTTCTTTTTTCTTTTTTTTTTTAACTGATATCCTACTGCTTTAGAGGAAATGCAATATATGTCTACTTCAGCTCTCATTGTCTGAGTTAAAGTAATACTGGCCTACATATATATTTCTGCTTTCTTGTCTTTTAAATTTGTTCAGTGGCTGACCTTCATCTGAGTCAAACTGCTATGCTGTCCACTCTTCAAAGGCTAAGAAACCTTGATTACACTGTAATATCTTGTCTAGTCTTTGAAATAACACCTGAATTTACAAAAAAAAACAAAAAAAAAACAAAAAAAAAAAAAACAAGAACAAATAGTAAATACAGGTCTGCACTTTTCATTGGTGCACTGGGTTGTTTGAAGACAGACGAGGACAGAGAGGAGATTTCCCAAAAAAAGGTACAAATGACATAACATGCAATTAAACTATTAGCAGAAAGGTGAATAACTTTTTTTTTTAAGTGGTGGCACTACCCATATTATTTTAACATTATCATTTTTATTATTTTCAATATGTTTATGAACATGTTTTTCGGTGAATTATGTGAAATGGGATTAAACGTGAGGATTTCAAGGCTTTCTTTAAGAAGCAAATTTTACAAAATGGTTTTGAAAATAAAATAATGATAATGCCTACATGGCATAGCAAGACTGCTCTGGGCTGCAGTGAGCTATTTTGGCATGGAGGAGAAGGACTCATTTGGGTCTCCATTTCCAACCACCAGTAGATTTCCTCCCTGTGAAGGACTGTGCTCACTAGAAGGCCAGATGGGATGTTCTCACCACAGAAATAGGTACTGAAATACTCTTGATTCTGTCAGTATACATATTTGGGCAGAGTGATGTCCTGGACAGCTGTCTTTATTACCCTGTGCTACTAACCTGCAGAATTTGTCTCCTCTTCTGAGAAGCTACTGTGCACCAGAAGCACCTACCCAGAGCTCCTGTGCCTTAGTAAAGAGTTAATTGACTGTGTTGGGAAGTGGTAAGTAGCAGCTTCCTAAGTAGTTCTCAGCTGTACCCAACTGCAGCTGTGCCCAGGTGTCCCTGGAATTTCAGGACAAAGCCAAGCATGTCATCTTGCCCCACCTCAAATGCTTTCAAACCTTCCTTAACCATTTACACCAGTGTACGTAGATTTATCCTGTAATGTGGTGTAGATCCTTGGAATTTCATTACTAGGTGTCAGCTGGATGCTGTAACTAACAGCTGAGGGGCTGTAAGGGCTAGTACACAAATAACCCATCAGAGGCAGCTTCCTAAATCACTTTGCATCTCAAGCCTTCACTCTAAACCCCCTGTTTTCTCCATTCACAGTATGAATAGCACAGTCAGTCTCAGGGGCTGAATTCCAGTGTGCTACTTTCAGCAAGTGCTTTAAGTCACATTCAAGCACCAAGTTACCCCATATTGCAGTGTTTAGCGTCTGCTTGCTTGGATTGCTAAAATTTAGTCCCAAGCTCACAGTTACACTGTCAGGACCAAGCAGATATACCCACTGTAACACAAAGAGGCAAGCACAGCAAAAGAGGCCAAACTCTTGCCTATTTTCACTATTGTTTTAAATGAATGGAATAAATAATTTTGTTTTCCTGTGATTTCAAAAAGCCAGTAGCTACAGCCAGCTGGTGAGATGGAATAAGAGACAGAATAAGAAATGTATGGTAAAAAAAAGTGTAGAGAAACACATTGTTCTCTGCAGGCTTCATGCAGAATGTCAAGTATTTGTGATCACATCCTATTTTCCAATACTTTTTTTTAACAGTCTAGTTACTGTTGTTTTGATTCAGAGCGTATCAACTTTTGAATTAATCCCTTTCTCTATGGAAATTGTTGGTGAAACTTTCAGTTGTCTATGTTCTGCTCTGCTTCAGGCTCAGTCACAAACTTATCTCATGCCATTTTGCTCCAGAGGGCATGAAATACAGATAAAATTCCTTCACATATGTAATGCGTGTCCCTCATGTGGAATAGCAGCCATTCTGTTTTAATATTTGTGGGGAACAAGGAATTGTTTTGCCAGGACTAGGAAATAATTTTTATAATACCAATGTTTTCACTCTAAATTAATTTTAAACTCTTGCTGTGTGGTTGGATACTTGCAGCCTGTTCCGCCTGGGAATTTGGGGGGGGGGGGGGGGGTGGTTTTGTTGTTGTGTTTTCCATTTCCCTGATTCGCAAAGTCAAATTGCTGTTTTTGAAATCAGAAAGTTATGAATGTTGTCAGTATGCTATGTAAGTTGTCTTAATAGCTATATGGGGAGTTTGGTGGCTCTGCATTGCCAGAACATAGGAAATTATGCCCATAGGTATGTCTGGCATGCTTGTCATAGTTCCTCAGACACAGCACATAACCTTGCTCTCATTTACACTCGGTAAAACCTGGTCATGCTAGGTGAAGAATTCCTTACTTGCAGACCATCAGGATACAGCTTGAGTTTTAGAGCCATGAACTACTTGCGTTTCCCATCAGGGTTGACTGAGGTTACTCAGACCTGAAGCATCAAACCTGTGTACTCCAGATGGTTCCATCTGTTTCAGTATTAAAGTATTAATGATGAAATATAGCGGCACGATCTTCCTTCTCTGTCTACATAAATTTGATCAGATGGAAATTTATTTTTGTTCCTTTTTGTTTACAAAATGAAGAAGATCTTAGTATTTGAGCTCTGTATTCGCTATTCAAAATGAAATAGAAGACAGGTGTTTTGGAAAAAAAAAATTACTGATTGCTGGCTTGCTTTACTCACATAGCCTTCTTTTGAAATTTTGGTCCTGTATATTTTAAACAACAGACACAAAAATATCTTGGTTGTGTTGCAGGAAGACCATTGATAGATATTCTAAATATGTTTTATGATTTTATTTTGAACATACTTTACTTTTGCCTGGTGAGATTCCAAGTAGGAGAGTCTGCCATGTTACCTAATTGCAGCTATTCAGCAGGCAGAGAAGGCCACCACTATGACTGTGGCAGGGGTCATTGTCACACACCCATTACATAAAATGCCTTCTTTGCCTCATTTGTTTCCAGCAATCATTCTTTCATCTGCATTCTTTCTCTTTTCCAGGTGTGGATGTGCGGTGGTGGCATGTTCGATGTTCCATGCTCTAGAGTTGGGCATATCTACAGGAAGTACGTCCCATATAAAGTTCCTTCTGGAACAAGCCTAGCACGGGTGAGTAATCGAGTCTCGCTGTTTTTCAATGCCATTTATCATCAGTCTCTTCATTCCCTGTGAACTAGTTTCCAGTAAACCATTACAATGGAAAATGAATGTTTCTTTATTTTTCTGAAATGGGATGTGCAATTGCTGCAGTTATGCTGCCTTCCAGAGATAAGATTGCCAAGAAAAATTGAAATCTTAAAAATACAGGGTTTGGACGTCTCGGCACAGAAGTGCATTTCATGCTGATTCAAAAGAACCTAGGAATAACCTAAGGCTTATGGTTCTCGAATTGCACAGTGTTGTCAGTCATAGTTTTTGCAAGCAGGACCAATTTGAATGCACATTTTCTTATCAGTCAGCAGAACAGGCAGAATCTTGTGAAAGGAATATTTTCTGAGGCAAATAAACAGAGTAACAATGATTTGAGTGACTGTCTAATTATTGTGTAAAGCCTGGTGCTGGAATACAGCCAGCTTGGAGACATGCGAGTGAGAAATTACAAGACCTCTAGACATTTCTCAAAGACTACTGAACACATCCATATCCATGAGGGGCTTTTTGCTCAAGAGAAAATGTTCTATAACTTTCTGGAGATGTTCACAGGATGTCACAAGATGGGAGACAAAGGGCACAGATGTAGCTTCCAGGTAGATACTAGTATTTATTCATGCTTGATTTTGATATGCTCTGGTTTAGAAGATTTTTTTTTTTTTATAAAATGGTATTAATATTAACGTCTGCATATTGCCATAGGCTAATATTTTATGAATCATATTTTTTCTTAATAATGAAAATGTAGTATAAAGAAAAGAATAAATTTCTTGCTTCAAGGAGGAGATATTCTTGGTTTCAGCACCACAGGACAAGGCTTGCTGTAGTAACTGCAGCAGAGGAAAGAGGCCGTCTGTGCTGCCTGCCTGACAGCTGGCTAGACAGAGAGAAAGATTTGCCTTAAAAGAGCATCCGTGCAGACAGTGAGACATATGATACAGTAATGGGATTAGTGGTGGTGTCAGTGGTGGTGACAAGAAGTGTATTGACTGAATTCTGAGATGAAAATCTTCCCCCAGTATAGCTCTGTGTAGTCTCAGAGTTTCCCCTTCCAGATTTTTGCACTGGCTGAAATAAATTGCTTTGTTTATGGTATCCCCTGCAAAAATCGCACACAGCTTGAAATAAGAAATCCAGACCTCAGTCTGTTTTCCTCTATTACAGTACAAAGTATGTCATTAGAGAATATGCTGTCTTGAGCATTTTTTGTGGGAGCGAAAGACAAGCCTTTCTGTTTGGACTATTAGCATCTCATACAGTTTGGTACTCAACTAGCTTTCATGGAAGAACTGTGAGTACTTGGAGCCATCAGGTAGCCACAGCCAGCAGCCTCCCTATACTATTTATTCCAGCTTGATTTCAATAGATCACTTGTGAAATATTACAAAAAAAAACCATCCCCAGTTATAAAAATTAAATCTCTACCCGCGCACAGACTGAATGCCTGGTATCCTGTGGGAAAAGATCTAGTGGGCTGATAGGGTGGAGCTTATGATCCAAGGGCTAGAGCACCTCTCCTGTGAGGACAGGCTGAGAGAGTTGGG